AATAATAATAATAATAATTTGATGTCTGATTTTGTATGCTTTTGTGAAAAATGCCCAATAGTAATACAATTTCTTTAAAAGGCCAGGAATCTCAGTGTGCAACTGCTGATGAGACAAAGATTAACGCCGACACAGCAGAAGCCAAAGCATCAGAGATGCACAATGCATTCAGGTCCCAGGTGATAAAATAAAAAATTTTATAATACCTTTATGATATTTGCTAAGGAGAACATCAGTTGTTGTCTAAGACGAACAAATACTGAATGATTTTTCTTGTATCTTCTAAGAATTACTAAAGAGTTTTTAAGAGAGCTCTGCAAAAAAAACAAACTGTACCTGACGTCAAGGCTGAATGACACACTTTATCTTCACTATAAAGGTTTGAAATTTCCGTATTTGAAAGACTGTCTTGATATTGCATCTTTGTTATTTTCTTTTCAGCTCTTTATGTAAAGTTGTTACTTCTGCCTTGTAGGTTTTTCTTGTATTGAGGGTTTAGAGGAATATACTGGCCTGCACTGCCTATGGCTGGAATGTAATGGCATTCGCAAGATTGAAAATCTGGAGAATCAGACAGAGCTTCGCTGTCTTTTCCTCCATCAGAACCTAATTCATACTCTGGAGAACCTGGAACCACTCAGCAAGCTTTGCACCCTCAATGTCTCAAACAATTATATCAAGGTCATTAAGAACATATGTGAGTATTTGCACACACAAGTGAAAATGGCACCACACAATGTATTAACACTTTGTTCCCTGTTCTGCAATATACCATAAAGTAATTTATCTTTTGTTTTTTAGCCTGCTTAAGTGAGCTGCAAATATCCCATAACTCAGCGGAGAATGTGTGTGACAGGGAGGAGCTATCACACTGTCCATCCATCAGTGTTCTTGATCTGTCTCACAACCGCATCAGAGATCCAGCCCTCATCAGTGTTCTAGAGAGAATGCCTGACTTGGTAAAAACAGTGTATCTGTTTCCTCATATATATGATCAGTAATGCTTGCTTCTAGATGTGGACTGAATTGCTAGAAGTTAATTCATGCTTCTTTGAATTTGCCAGCGGGTGTTAAATCAATGGGTAATGATGAGGTCATCAAAAAAAATCCCAAACTACAGGAAAACTATGATTGTACGTCTAAAGCAGCTGACCTATCTAGATGACCGGCCTGTGTTTCCAAAAGACAGGTTAGCAGCAATTGCCTGACAACTGGCATGGTCAGTTTGAAGACCAATAGTCCCTACAAAGCTAGTCTTTGCTACTAGTTCATCTAGAGGCTGTTGTTGAGTCTTTTACAGACGTTTGCACTGATTCACAGAGCATGTGCAGAGGTATGGGCAGCTGGTGGTTTGGAAGGTGAGCAAAAAGAAAGGGAAATGTGGGATACGAGAGAGAGAAGGAAGATCAATGAGAGTTTGGATGCAATGACCACTATCAAAGAGAATGCACTGACGACGACAGGCTCGAGAACTTTTGGAGAAAGGCAAACACACATTCTGTTCACTTATACACTACCGTTCAAAAGTTTGGGGTCATTAAGATTTTTTACAATTAATTAAAAGTTTTATTTAGCAAGGATGCATTAAATTGACAATAAAGACTTCTACATTGTTACAAAAGATTATTACTATTTCAAATAAATGCTGTCCTTTTGAACTTTCTGTTCAACAAAAAATTCTGGAAAAAATGTATTGTAGTTTCCACAAAAACATTACAGACCACAACTGTTCTCAACATTGATAAGAAATTATTTTTGAGCACCAAATCAACATATTATAATGATTTCTGAAGGATCATGTTACACTGAGACTAGAGTAATGGCTGCTGAAAATTTAGCTTTGCCATCACAGGAATAAATTACATTTTAAAATGAATTAAAATAGAAAACAGGTTGCAATAATATTTCACAATAATGCTGTTTTTACTGCATAAGATGTTTTTCAAAAAATAAATAAATAAAAATGACCAACCCCAAACATTTGAACAGTAGTGTATACACACACCCATATTCTGTCACCTCCTTCTGACATACAGCATCATTAACAGCTTTCGGTTTACCCTCAGGAATTATAGAGCCTCCAAGTCCTGTTACTGAGGATCAGATCCCTCAGGACGAAACAATGAAACAAAAACTCCTCAAAAACAGAGCAAGAACAAACTGATCCATCAGCAGGGGCGATTCTAAGATTTTCATTTTAGGGGGGCTCAGCCCCCAATGAGGGTATAATAATAAAAAATAATAGTAAACATATAAATAAAATAAATAATGATTGACTAATAGGGTAAGGTGGTAAACTAAACTTATTGCATTTTGCAACTTATTGTATTCCACTGTACTGCATAGATAGGTATAACATTTGAGTACTGAATAAGCCATACAAGTCTTCCTGAATCCTGATCTCTCTCTCTCACACACACACACACGTTTACTTAGCTATCTAAATGGGGACATTCCATAGGCGTAATGGTTTTTATACTGTACAAACTGTATATTCTATCACCCTACACCTAAACCTACCCCTTACAGAAAACTTTCTGCATTTTTACAGTTTTAAAAAAACTTTGTTTACTTTATTTTTATACCAGTTTTACAAATGAGAACGTCTCCAAAGGGAGGTTTTTGGAGATTTTGTCATGTTTAGCTCACTTTTGGGTACAAATTTGTCCCCAAAATATAGTAGGTACACACACACACACACACACACCTGTTTGCTGTACAAACAACATTTTACTGTTTGCATTTCTAGTACAACCCTCTTTCTTTAGCTCAAGTATGCAAAACTATTTGCCATATGCACTGTAATTAATATGTTTTATATTAAAAGTACAATTTTCAAATAAAAATGGCAATGGAAATGGCTATAGCCCCCTAAAAATGGCCTAGCGACGCCCATGTCCATCAGCATCAGAGATGGACTACATTTTCAAATCTGCATCTGATAAGGAACAGATTATACAAACAACACTTGATCAAAATCATTCCGACCAGTCAAAACCAGAGAGACAGCAGACAGGTTCAGAACAGATTCTCCATCCTTTATTTGACCAGGAACAGACTGGCAAATCAGAAACCCGGGGATTGAAGACTAAAGAGGAGGAGTACCAGAAAATGAGTGTTCACACAAAACCGTTACAGTCATATCAGAGCTTTTTAGTCTCAGTTCCTGGTGCTCTTGTCACTGAACTGATCTCTGAGGATGAAATAGAGTCTATCACCCTGTCAGATGGACCAGCATTACCAATTGAAGTGAATACTTACACCATTGCTCACATCAATATAACTTCCATTTGTTTTTACAATGAATAGAATTTCATTTTCAGCAGTGGGCAGCCATTTATGCTGCGGTGCCCGGGGAACAGTCAGGGGTTCGGTGCCTTGCTCAAGGGCACCTCAGTCGTGGTATTGAAGGTGGAAGAGAGCACTGTACATTCACTCCCCCCACCCACAATTCCCACCGGACCTGAGACTCGAACTCGCAACCTTTGGGTTACAAGTCCGACTCTCTAACCATTAGGCCACGACTTCCCCTGTATAGTGTCATTTTTACAATTAACTAAAATCAAAAAAATCCTTGAAATAAATAAAAATTGTAAATATGAATAAATACTATAACAGTATCTCAATGATACTTAAATAACACTTGGTGAAAAAGCATTGTTAAGTATATAATTAACATGATAACATTTCCTAAATTGTGATGAAACATTGTGATTAAATTTTATGGCAAAGTTGTGGAGATTTACGTTACATTTTTCAGAGTGTGATCCGTCCAAAGATTCAGGTCATCTCTGGTGATGACACAGAATCAGAAGCTGTTACAAGTTTGTATCACTGGCCTCAGTCAGATGCTGTAGCCACTGATCAATCTCAGCTGCTTGTTAATGTCTCCACTAAGAGAACCTCAGTCAAGCAGCCCTGCCTTCACCAGTCAATCAGAGGCAGGAGAGGATTTCCCAAAGCCTGCGGAAAACAGAAAGACTTTTCTGATTGAGGAACTGCACTGAGTTTTTATGGTTGAACTAATGAATGAAACTATATTGTAGTGTTTCCCAACCCTGGGGGCCCTCCAGCACAAACCTTGGATGTGTATTTAAACTTGATGTCTACCTGATTTATAAATTGTGTTTAACTTTAAATCACCTAATCATATTAATCATTTAAATAAAATAATACAAATAAAATCAATAAAAATAATTTTGCTTTGAATTTTATTGCATATATTATAAATGTATTTTGCAAATACTTCAAGACACTTATTTATATATATATATAGAGAGAGACAGAGAGAGCGAGAATTATATAATATAATAATATATAATTTAATAATATAATTATATATAATATTATATAATTATGGTCATTTGAAACAAGCTACAGATACTAAATCCTGTACTAAACCATTAGATTTTAAACCATTAGACCATTAGAAGACGGAGCTGTACAGATCGGTTTATTTCGGGAACTTTTTGCCCCACATACACAACAAGTCATTTAGACATTTGCAAAAGTTAGTTTTGTACACATACAGATTGGTTCTATGCAGTCGATCCGTTTTGCAGTTCTTTAAACTGCTGTTTTCACTTGCAAATCACTGTTCACAGGCTTGCAGTGCTTTTGACTATCTTTTGGCGAAAAAAACGTGCCAAAAGTGTAAGCGCGGAAAAATGGAAGTCAGAAGCATGCAGATCATATTTATTTTGCGTTAGCATGAAGCTGCAGTTTCACAATACATGAATTACACTTACGAGTAACAGTAAAATGCTGCAAATATTTTTTTCTTGCGCTTGAAACGCGATTTACACCTTTACAAAGCTTCTCTTGCGCATGCAAATTTAATCTACGCTTACAGTCTTATGTACACTTCCACAAATATTACCCTGCGTATGCAAATCTTTTTGACGTCATTTTACCTTCATAATTTAACCTTTTCAAGTTGCTTGTTAAAAAAAAAACTACCATTAGGTGGGAGTAAAGTGAGTCGAATACTAACAGTTGTGTGACGCGCTAGAGTCAGCGGAAGTGACGCAGTTTGTGTGGATGTGGGGCTGTCATGGATGAAGTTGGTTCACCGTCGCGTCGTCGTGGTGGTCCTACGGGGCTCTCCGCCGTGCAGTCCGACACTATAGAGGGTCTGACAGAGCTGGAGGATCTGGAGCGAGTGTATGCGCAGCTATGTGCCGAAGAGGTGAATATTTGTTAGTGGAGACGCTGTTTGTTAGTCTCTATGAGCTGGACTACTAGTAAGGGTAGATAAACGCTTGTCAGCTGTGTTAGTTAGTTGATTACATATATATAAAGCGTGTGCCTGAACTGTGAGATTGTGTGCATGTTGACTATGCATTGGCATGAACTGATTATAAACGCACCTCCCTGACAGGCGGAAGTGCAGATGGAGTTGGGCGCTCTTATGGGACAGCAGAGCAACATAGAAACAAAGATGCTCGCCCTGCAGAGGATGGGGTGAGTGTGTATGCGTTTTACACTTAACATATGCTGTTGAACTGAAAGAATAGAATAGAGTGTGCTAATGAATTGTGTTTTTGTGCGTTCCTCAGACCCAACTTGCAGCTGATCGAGGGAGATGCTGTGCAGCTGTCTGGCATGATCAACTTTACATGCAGCCTGGCAGAGAACGTCAGCAGCAAAGTCAGACAGCTGGACCTCACCAAGGTGGCCATCATACACATTCGCATAAAATATACACTCTATCAAAATGACAGTCTCAGTCTGTGTATGTCAGCTTCCACTCAAGCTTTGCACCTGGTTCTGTTTCAGAAAAGGCTGTACCAAGCAATTCAGAGGGCAGATGATATTCTAGATCTGAAGTTCTGCACAGATGGTGTTCAGACAGCCCTGCGTAACCAGGATTATGAGCAAGCTGCTGCCCACATTCATCGCTATCTTTCTCTCGACCAGTCAGTGATTGAGCTCAGCAAGCAGGGTGGAGAGGGTGAGTACTTTTTGGGTTTTCTAGCAACAAGTATTACCACTGCAACTATTGAATAGTAATTTATTGAGTCATTTTCAAACATGTATGTCTATGGCAAGGGTGCCTGGTGTTAGAAATTGAATATATGATATGGATAATTCAACAAAAAATTTTTATATTTCAGTAACCATGTTTTTTGCCTATTGGTGGATAATCCAGTGAATTAAATATGTTTGGCAATTGAAAAGTGTTTTATCTGATTTGATTTTTTTTTTTTTTTTTTTTTTTTTTTTAAATTTATGGAT